TCTCTATTTCTCTTTTCCACCCCCTCCCATCCCTCCCTCACTTCTATTTTCTCAAAAAATCAATGGAAAAAATATACTCAGGTGAGGATTAACAAAATAAAATAAAATAGAAACTCCACATCCATTCATTGTCATCCGCCTCCATCCTCCCCCAGCCCCAGGCAACCACTATTTCTTGTTTCTCCAGATTTGCCCATTCTGATCTTCCATATAAATGCAATTATAAAATACATGTTTTTTTATGACTGACTTCTTTCATGAAGCCTGAGATTTCCAAGGTTCATGTGTCAGCTCTGCATTGCTTTTTATTTACAAATATATTCCATGATATGCATGGGGCACATTTTATTTGTCTGTTCATTCATTGGACATTTGGGTTGCTTGGGCTTTTTGGCTACTATGAATTATACTGATGATGGCTCGTGCACAATCTCTGCGTGTGAGAGGGGCCTTGGTGATGAACATTCAGTCTTGGCCAAACCCCTGGGCATCCAGGGGGATGGGACCCTCACCTGCATGTCAGGAGGGTCTCCGAGTCTGGCCTCAGGGCCTGGATGCCTTCGTTGTCCCCACAGGAGGCAAGCAACCAGGAGACCAAAGGTCACAAATGATGAAGACCCTGTCATGGACACAGTCACCTGGGTGAGTGACATGGGTGTCTCCTCATGCGGGTTAGGGGGGGCTAGGCATGTCCATTCAAGGAGTCCACACTGAGCTCCTCTGTGGTCAGCTGGACAGGCAGCTGGGAGTCAACTTCTCCCCTTCACCTCCCAAAGCCCATGGTCAGCCTCCTGCCTCAGGCCTGCTGATCATTGAGCCCACCTCACCACTCTGATAGGCCCAGGCTGCCAGAACCATCTCCCCAAAACTATTACTTTCTCCTCACCTTGGTTTCCCCATCTGTAAGTGAAGATAAGAGTATCATCCTTACTGGGTGTCTGTGAGGATGAAATGTGATTAGTAGGCCCTCCATATGGTCTAATCGGTTGTAGTATTCCAGAATTTTAACTGAAGGGGCAAATAGCTGAGTTTATACGACAGGTGTGTGGAATAAGAGGATGACTGGAAAACTGTTCCTTCAGCCCAACTTCCCCTTGGGACCATGCTGTCTTATTCTTCTCTGACTCCCTACTCTCCTTCACTCAGAGTTCCAAGCAAAAACTTGGGCTAGACAAGCCCCCAAACCAAGGGTTGTCCACAGAGGATCCCCCTCTGTCAGAGGAACACTGGGAGGTCTACTACGGCAACCTCAGCTTTCATGGGATGAAGCCACAGGAACCTGAGGACCCGGAGGCCACCAGCAGCATCAACGAGTACTCGGAGATCTAGGAGACAAGCACATGAGGACTCACTCAGAGCCCGGTCCTGGGCAGAGGCATCGCAGCCCCTCAGGGGAGAAGAAGTCAGGGACTCATTTCTGAAGCATGAGGAGACCTTGTGGCACGATTAACGTTAACTACTGTATGAGCAGAGCAGAAAGAAGACAGGTGATGGGATTGCAGAGACGTGGCCTCAAACGCAGGCTTCAGCACATCCCAAGGCAGCGGTCGCCAACTGGTGGTCCATGAGGTCCGAAAGGTTGGTGACCGCCGTCAAGGCAGTGTCATCACGTGGTGATTCCTTCATGTCTCTGTTGCTCAGTGTCCCATTCTGTGCAGAGGGCATGCATT